AAGGTCTCAATACACTTCCGGGACCAGGAAACAAGGTCTAACAGAGCCAAGGCACTCACCTCCAACATACCCCCATCTCCAATGGAAAAACTCCTTCCACTGAGTAAAGTACCTGTCCTCAAGTATTCTGTAATGGGAATCATCTAAAGTGTTGAACATATCTCCCTGTAAAGAGAAGAGGAAAAGCAAGGTAAGAAAGATAGAAAAAGGCAGCTGAGGACACAGCTGATGAGGCGCTTGCCTGTCATGAATGAAGCCCTGGGTTTGAGTCTTAGCACCATGTAAAGCCAGGTATGGTGGCACCCATGTGTAGTCCCAGCTCTTGAGAGGGAAGGAAAGGGATGAGGAGTTCAAGGTCACCTTCCTCTACCATCTTCAAGGTAGCCTGGACTATGTAAGACTGTCTCAAACAACAAAAAGAAAACATAGGAAAGAGACCCATACAGAAGAGAAGTAGGTGGAGTTTTCCTGTCCCTCAGCTGTTCTCAAATAAACACACTGAGGCTTATATTAATTACAAATGATCGGCTGATAGCCCAGGCTTGTTACTCGCTAACTCTTACATTTAAACCAACCCATATTTCTTTTTTTTTTTTTTTTTTTTAAGCATTTATTTATTTATTATGTACACAGAAGAGGTCACCAGATCTCATTACAGATGGTTGTGAGCCACCATATGGGTGCTGGGAATTGAACTCAGGACCTCTGGAAGAGCAGTCGGTGCTCTTAACCTCTGAGCCATCTCTCCAGCCCCAACCCATATTTCTTATCTATGCTTTGCCACACAACTTGGTACCTTTTCTCAGTACAGCATGCCTGTCTTGCTTCTCTGCATCTGCTGGCAACTCCCCTGACTCTGCCCTTCTCCTTCCCAGCGTTCTCAGTTTGGCTTTCCCCCCTAATTTTATCCTGCTTAGCTATTGGTCAGTCAGCTTGTTTATTAAACCAATCATAGCAGCATATATGCACACAGTGCGCAGAAGGATTATTCCACAGCAGAGGAAGTGTTTGCCTAA